TGTTTTCAGCAGTCTGTATTCCAAACTTTTTTAAGCATATTAGTTGACTGCTCTGGTTCCTTTAATACGTCATCCATTGCAGCATTCTATGTAAAGCCCATCTTTTAAATACAGAACTGTTCTTATATGAGTAGGTAGCATAATCCTAGAAAATGGAAAGGCAAAGTGTCATGTGAAATTTTGTCTTTATCTTTCCTTATTTCTACCTCCTCTCAAAACCTACCTGTCCTCCCCTTCCTCCATCCCTTAAAACTAGCCTGAGTTTATTGGTTCCATGACAGTGAAATTGGCATAGTTGGCAAGGTGTGAATAGAGGGATCAATACAGAGGCACAGATGTGCCCCTACTCCCCCAGGCGTGCAATGAGCAAAGAAGTGGTTTGGCGCACCGGTGCTATTGGAGAGAACTGAACAATCCTGGGGAGATGGTGGAGCAGGAGGTCAGTTTTTGAAATGCCTCAATAAAAAAGAGCTAATAATGGTTTTACAGAATCTTTTCACTAAAATAGTTGGTATTTAATGGAGTACTAGGAATTTAATGCAGCGAGCTAGTCTGAACCCCATCAGGGGCATGTGCTTGGTACAGGCTCAGAACTGGTTTTTTTTTTTTTTTGGAAGACCAGGAAGGGATGATTTGGAGAAGCAGGTGGAGATAGTTCAAAAGAACTGAAAAGAGAAAGTGAAGGCATTCACTAGAACAAAGAATTGAAATCTGCTGGCAGAAGCAAACACACGCACCTTGTATTGCTCAAATTCAGAAGCTGAGTGCAGTCCCAGACGTGGAGGACTGGGATGGAAATGTCTGGGCACATTCTGAGGAGAGTAGTTCTGAAGAGGTGGGGAGTTGGAGTAAAGTTCTTACTGAGACCGAAAGGCAGAGGGAGGGGGGTAACCCAAAACCACAGTCAGCACTATTCCCTGGATAGGACCTGGGCACAGTGAATTGCAATACAGTTTTGGCATAAGCTGGGCAAACAGCAACAGATTGTGAAGTCTCTCTGGTGAGAGGGGAAATAAGGTACTGTTAGGCGCTGAAGAAGCGAGCAAGTTTTGGGGTCCAGAGTGGCTCGTTGTGACGGGACACAGACGGCAGGGAGAGCGGGGAGGCAGCCTCCCCCAAAGGCAGAAGGAGCTGTGGGAGCGAGTGCGGGGGCTGCTGCAGCCCGGCAGTGGAGATTGGGCTGCAAGGAGTCCCGGTGGCCGCTTCCCGCCGGTAGAGCCACGCCGCCTCAGGCGCCTCCTCGCAGCATTCCCAGACCCCGAAAGCGCTCGTTCGGTGCCTTGGGAGGAATTCTGGCAGCGACCGGCACCCGCGGCGACACCCGCGCTCGTCTCGTGACAATGAAGTCACCATCGGCCGCGCTCCTGGAGGTCTCGAACCGTCCCCGAGCCGCCGGGCAGGACAGGCCGGGGCCTTGGTCAGGAACGTGCCTCGGCCGGAAGCACTCCAGCGGGGGTGCCCGAGCTGGGTTGCGGGTCAGAGCGCTTCGGCCGCGGCCGGCAGACGGCGGCACTGCCGGGGGAAGGACCTGAGGGGGGTGAGGACCAGAAGCCGCGGTGGGGGGTCTCGGGTCGGCGGTGAGCTCCTGCCCCAGCCGCTGGCAGGGAGCTCTGTGCTCATATCCCCGGGTGCAGAGCGATCACGTGCGGCGGTTTAATGGTGCGGGGCCCAGATGGGGTTAAATGAGCAACCGGCAGAGGATGACGGAGTTGAACCGTCAGGAGAGCTGTGGGTAGCGTGGTGTAACCGATGCAGCAGCAAAACTGCCCCTGGCTCGAGCTCAGCCCCGGCTGCTGGGGAAAGGGTGGTCACAGCTGTAGCACTGCCCACCTGCACAAGGAGAATCCTCTGGGACTTGATGTGCTGCAGTCAACGATGGACCTGCCCCATGGCAGGGTGCAGGGAGGCAGAAACCACTTGTGAGGCTTTTGCAGGCTGCCTCCGGTTGCCACAGTCTGAAGCAACCGAACAAGAGTGGGCAAGTGGCTAGAGCCCTTTGAAAACTACTGAATAAAACTGGGTTGATCTTCCCCCCCTTCAAATGTCCCAGTCCTTGACAAGAGGTTAAATTCTATGGGGCTTTGGGGGTAGCAGGAGCTGTTGCAGTACCTGACAATACCCAATAAAGTGTTGAGGGGCAGGCCCTGCATAACACAATATAATTGCAACAGTTAGGCCCATTAGGTTATTGGAAAAAACACATATACACGGCTTTTGGGTACTTCCCCACTAAAAACTTGCTTCAGAAAAGGGACTGGAATTCACAATTTCTGGAACCCCTTAATTCTCCGAAAGATGAACTCAAAGCATACTGAAGACTGGGCCCACTGCACCTGCAGGACCTGTGTAAAAGTGAAGTGGAGATTTGTCACTTAACCTTCATATTGTGGCATTTTCCAAAATGGACCATGAGGACCAGTGAGGCCTCTACTATGTTCTTTACCTCATTTAAAGAAATGAAACAGCGGTAATTGGCTTGGGAAAAGGGAGCCCTTTCCCTCACTAGAGTGATTAAGGAATGTGCAATGAGAAACTGTGCATCACAAGATGTTACAGTACAGGGTCCTTTTCCCCTTCTGAATCCAATTCTTGATGGATCGCCACGTCCTCAGGGAGTAGCTCCAAAAGCCACAGTTCAGAAATGGTATGTGTACTCAGAAGCAATTAGTCCAATTACTTCTGTTAAGAGAGAGTCTGGTCAAAGTCTCCAAATTGCAGCAACCTATAAATCTAGACCCAGGTTTCCTAAGTCAACTGTGTAAGCCTTCTCCTATTAAAAAAGCACCTGCCAGAAACTCAGACACAGAGGGAGTGCGATTTACCAATGCATCTGCTCATCAAGTGGTTTTAAGGTGGCAGTTTAAAGCAGTAGCATTAGAAATTGGCAGCAGGAGAGCAGTTGAGAAAGAGTGAAGGTAGGCTCTGTTGACCACAGAAAGCGGTGCTAATGCCATTTACGTTAGCTGATGAAGTGTCTCCTGGAGACAGGAAGATCCCAGCCTTTGAAGGTGGGATGGATGAAAGGCCACGCACAGGTTAAAATCCCTGTTGCCAAGTGGAACCAGTAAGTTGATCACTTAGCCCAAATGAGGGTACTGACCTGTGAAAAGGTAGCCTGGGGTCACTTAGGTGAATAGTTGCATATCAAGCAAGGCTACTCAGGCAAGGCAGACCTCTTTTGTTGATCCTGAGGCTGGCCAGTGCCTGTGAAAGCCAGTGAAGTGGTCCTCACAGCTTGCCCACAATGTCAGGTGAGAGTTAAGACCAACCACCAGAACCAAGCCCATGCCCAGCGTGTTATACAAGACAGAACTCTCTGGAACAACTGACAGACCAATTACATCAGTCCCTTGAACCTGTCCAATGGAAAAAAGTATTAATATCTAAAGTAGTATTAGAATTGTCTATGGCTACATCTGTTAGTGCTGCTACTGGAGATCATATGGTCCAGGGCTTTCTGAGAATGGTTCAGTGTTTTGCCCATGCCTCAATGTATCCAAAGTGATAATGGTTGAAATTTTACAGCCATGGTAGTGCAAGATCGGGCACAAGGAGAGGGTATAAAATAGATGTTACATACGTCATATTGTCCTCAAGCCAATGGTATAGTTGGGTGTTCTAATGGCCTAATTAAAAGACATCCTGATGTTTCACACCACAAATGGGATGCACGACTGTCACAAGCAGTCCTCATTGCCAGTAACCACTGGGGAAATTATGGGAAACAGAAGATTCAAGTGTTTTGTCCTACTGGCCATTGATGGGCGACACCCCCATACCTGATTATCAAAGAGGTCAGTTCCCACTGAGAACCCATGTGGGATATCTGGATGGTGAAACTGCCCTCTGTTGGCATTGTACCCATGACCCTGGCAAAGTCCAATGCAGTATTGACCCAGGCCTGTATGCCTAGGAAGCCCTAGACAGGAGCAGGCAGACCTACCATATTAGTGCCTGAAAGATAATTCCTGACTTCTAACCCTAAAGCTTAGAAGCCTAGTTTTGTTTTTTTATAGAGCAGCACATGGAGATGTGGGTCACCCCAGTGCTTCTGCTGGTGACAGGAGTAGTGACCTGCATGAACTGCCAGGACCTGGTCGTCAGACATATCAAATGCTAGCTCGGTGAGGGACTCAAGGTGTAGTTTTACCTCTCTACATGTCCCCAGTGGAGACATGGAGAGGAGTTTTGATATTTTCAAGGAGGGTCAATACCCCAGAAGTGGTATGACTGCACCCCACGAAGACAGTGGGAAGTGTGGCAGGAAGCCTCAGCACTAAACAAATGCATGTGTGTCGAGTTTTGAATCTGTTGGTAGAAGGCTGTTGTGTTCACGTTCCAAAGTTTGTATTATGATAAATCTTATGCACACAATGAGGTCTGTGTTGGTTATGATAGCAGCTAAATAATTGAGAAATGATGATCCATAGTAAGCATTAAGACTCACCAAGACTGCTTCCTTTTAAGTTTGGAAGCAAGAGGTGACTGTACCCCCACTACAAGGAAACCAGTTGAATCATGACTGTGATTGTGGGCTGGATTGTGTGGCAGCTACACCCACGCTGACAAAGCCCTGACAAAAGCTTCACTGTGAAAGCTTCCCTCCACATGCAAAAGCCTGGGAAAACTCCCTGCACACGCAGCTCTTGTCCCACTCTGGTGGTGGTGGTCAGCAGGGACAGGGGCAAGGAAGTTGGGGTCCTGAGCCAGTGGTCACTACATGACCGTATCTGACCACAGATCAGACTTGACTAGGGTATAAAGGGAGTCCTGCCAGAGAGCCTTTTGGAGTTAGTCCTCCTCAGAGCAGCAGGCATGCAGTCAGGGACTCTCCCCTCGGGTTGGCATGCCATCCAGCATAACTCCTCAAGGTTGACATCCCTCCCTTTGTTCAATAATTGTGTGTTTTAGACCAGTGGCCATAACGTTTGAGAATCAGTGGTGTGGTGACGGATCCATGTGACGTCCCAAATCTGTAGCTGATGCGGGTGGAGTTTTGAGTTTCAGCAATAGATTTCATGTAGCCTCCATTTATTGGTTAGGTAACACTGACCTCTAACATGATGTTTGTTTTACACAGTTTGGAGGCATTGCTAACTAAAATTGGTTTTCTGTTCTTGTTTATCTTTCTCTTCATTTCTTCCACAACAGTTGTAAATAGGTTTTAGGAAGAATCTCCACCTGTATTTGACACCTTTATAAAGCAGAATTTGACAAGCTTTATGAAAAGATATTCATGTGGCTGGTCACTGAAGCTATAATGTGGCTGCTAACATGTTAACAGCTAAGACGGAAGTGCTTCATAACAGCCTGTTTACAGGTTGAACTTATGGTCAAATACCTAGGGAACTGGAAAATCTGACCTTAGCTATATCAGCTGCCTGGAACAGGCCCAGCTGTGTTCCTTGCAGACCTGGGTTCTAGGGTTCGGTGCTGGTGACTTCACAAAGGGCTACCCAAGTGGCAGCAGTCAAGGCTTCCAATCCCTGGTCAGCAGAGGTTTGAAAGCAGAGCTCCAGAATTCTGGTTGCAGTGCCACCAGAGGCACCTGGGCTTCCTGTCCAAGGGAAGGAGCTAGTCAGCTGTGACATGTAGTGCAGGCTGTACCAGTGTCTTGTGCTGTGTCCCTGCTTATGGAGGTTCCTAGATCGTCTTAATGACATAGTTGTTTTCAGGAGATGTTCCTGAGTAGTGGCAGGGTTTTTCTTTCTTTCTTTGGATTTTTTTTCTGTTACAGACCATGTCTCCTCAATCAGATGAGCCTTTACATGTAGTTCCACCCTTGAAGAAGTGCATCTGTCAGCTGTGCTCCTGTGGGTATGTAGTAGAGGCTGGGGGTGAAGGAGCTTGGGGTAGTGGTTACTTGGTTAGCATGCTGTACTGCTTTTGAGGGCTGCACTGCTATTTACTGCTGTATGTTGCATATAAAAAATGATAAATGTATCTGAGCATTTTTAAAGCTTTAAAACAAAAAGTATTTTTTCCCCAATTCTGCCTGTCCAGCTAAGTGGTTCTTGGGTTGCTACTGCATGGAGAGTTCTGGATTAAGAAGTGACACCTAAGAATTTTGAGTTTCCTTTGAAGACCTGGCCTCAAATTCTAAGTGATATATGTAAAAGCAGAAATGATACACCTGTGTACTTTAGGGATCTTTACTGCTTGCAGATTTAGTACAACACTATGGCTTTTGTCTTATAAGGTTGTGGCAGATACTTAGGAAGTTTTGGTTAGGCTTTTATTAGAAGGCCGTCGTAATTGTGCTGAACTTCAGGATAAAATCCTTCTCTTGTAAAGCAGTGATTTACTGCTTAGTGAGGAGGAACTGGGGAAGCAGCAGGGTATTGCCAGCAGCTACAAATACAACTCTGTATGTGTTTATGTGACTTCTTTAAAACTAGGCATTTGCTGCAAGAAATACAGTATTCATACTCTACAGACTTATGATACGTATCCTGAAATACTATTCAGAAGTAATTGACTATTAAGCTTGGGAAATTGATTTTCTCATTAACTTCCTAATTAGGAGATTCTTCAGCTTCCTAAGTATAGGGAATTTTTGGGCTTCTGAAGTTAGGTGTGCTGGATTATCATTAGCTGAAGTACACAGTGCAAATACCTCACTTTCACCTCCAGGGGAGAATATGTCAAAATTTAGTGCAGCATATGGAGAAGTCAGAGTTTGTGTACTTTTGACACTCAGCTTGTAAGGGTGAGCAAGGCTAAACCACATTTACAAACCGTTTTTTGGGGTATTTTTTTTTGTTTTGTTTTGTTTTTGTTTTTTAAGATCATACTAATGCTCTCCTTTTAGCAAAGCATATATGCATTGCTTACAAAGGTATGACAAAGGGTTTGGAATATCTTTCCCCGAGTGTAATATCAAATGGTAAAATGTTTGGTAGTAGCATGTCAAATAATGTGAAGCTATAACAAAACAGAGATTACTGTAACTTTTGAATGATAACGCATAACTGTTTGCAGTCTGTCTTGTATATGTTCTGAAGGCCAGGTTATACAGAGCCTTGGGCGACATGGGCTAGTGTGAGGCGGGGGGTGGGGGATTGGAGCAAGCTAGCTCCAATTTAGTGCAAAGAACAGGCAAGAGTCAAGACTAACTGGTAGGAGAAGTTAGTGGAGTGATGTCTGTTTATGCTCTCACAATTCTGGCTTGTTTAAAGTAACTTTGGTTTGCCTGTTTAGCATTGAATTCTGCCTTTCCTGACTTTATGTGTGTTTTGCTTCTCATATTTACAGTGCATTCAAATAGGTGGCTTCTAAAGTATAATTTAGGATTGCTGCTTTATTGGTGTATTTTTCTAAGTAAAATAACAGCTACTACTTAATGCTGAAGCACCTTTTTTCTTATGACAGTCACTATCCAGTGGAAGGGATTTGTGAAAACGATCCTTTCTCCCTATGAGAGCACTAACCTATTTGTTTCTCTCTATGTAATATTACTGCACAAGCAATTTCACGTTTCCTTACTGTGAAATAAAAGGCCAAGATAACGTCAGCGAGCAAGTACTGGTTGTTTTGTGGTTGTTTTATATCCTGAACTTTTTACCAGAAGATGGCAGCAGGCTTATGTTAGTCGCAAGTGTTTCCACTGTTTACTGTTAGATAAATGTGGAGATACTGTGCTAAATACTTTGAACCAAATTGTTTACCACAGTTCAAAGTGAGAATCTGGGCGTTGCAAGGCATTGCATGTCAAGCAGTTTTGTGGCTTTCTAGGCCTGGCTGGCTGCTGGCCTGCAAATCCTCTGCTAGTTCTGGCCATTGTTCAGTGGTGTGTTTTCATTTGATGCTCTTTCAAGAGCATTTATTTTGGAAGAAAAATCAAAGCAAGTAGAGCTGTTGTTTAAATGAATTTGCATTTGTTGCATATTGCTTTTCAGTTCAGGAAAATATTTCATTCTTTCCCTAGAATTAGTTTTCCTGGCGATAAAATTCAGTTAAATGTAAATGTGTTTTCTGTCACAGACAGCAAAAGTGGAGAAGGGGCTGGAACTGATACTGGATGATGCAGAAAAACATCTTGTTTTCAGTGAAAAGCCTATGTAATTATTCATTAAAAATGTGGAGCTCAGCAGCTCTTGCAGATGTTCTGTGGTATCTCTAATGAAAAAGAAGCTGTGTTAGTCAGAGGAACAAAGGTGTTTTTACCCTGTAGCTGTAAATTAATATTCACCATAGTAAATGTTCAGCATGTTAACAAGCACAAAGAGTTAGATACATTTATGATTTGTCAATTTTCAGTGCATTCAAATATTGCAGAATAACTTCACCATTGACATAAAACTGCTTCTGAAGAATTTTAAGAGAGGAAAATGCAGGTGATTTTCTTAGCTGAGGATTAAACTACCACATCCAGCCAATGTGATCCATTGCAAAAGGATCTTAATGCCAAACCTTTGGATTTCCCTATGTGCCTGAGTTCCTTTAAGGTATTTTAATATGGACAGACACATAGAGCAGGTTAATTGGCCTAAGGTCACTTTGGCTTTCCCAAACCCAGTTGTCAGCTAACAGAGACAAACTACAGACTGAGCCCAAGATGCCACAGTCTAAATATTATCTGCTGTTCCCACTTGCTCCCACTTGCTGATTCCTAATCCACATCCATAACGGTGAGGTGCCTGTGCTGTTTTTAATGATCTGTTTACAGCAAAACATGCTAACAGTTCCAAAACAAACAAGCAAAAGTAATAGATGGAAATTCTTTGAAACTGTGGCTCTCAATGGAGCTCTTTACCTGTGAAAAATTTGATGTTTGGTTTTGTAAGCTAAACTGATCCTAACTCCACATCAACAACAGGGCTAGAATAATCTCCTACAGGAAATGGTAATTAGTGTTTCCTTGCTTTTGAATGCTTCATTTTGCACCTTTGGTTCCATTAATTGAAGTAAGATCAAAGTATTATTTGTAGTGCTTAATAGGAATATTACATCAGGAAACTTTATGCCTTTCCAGGTGTATTTATGAAAAAAATAATCACAATGTCATTATCAAAATAGTTCTTTCAGTATGCAACCTGTCAGAAGTTAATTAATTCTTGACATTCAGTTAGCTTAAGATTTGCACTTGCATTCACAGAAAACACAAGTGGTGGGGCTTTCAAGTTTGTCTGGTAACCAGCTTTGCACAAAACAAAAGCCAGGAATGAAAGATGTCAAATATTCACATGAATTTTCATCATAAATCTTATGCACGCTACTTAGCATAAAAGACTGAGCAGAGATGAACTTTCAATCTGTTATATTTGGTTTTCAAAGGGACTGAGTATCTCTGGCAAGGGAGCTATCGTTAGATCGTGTACCTGCAAGTTAATGCAGTAGTGTAATGGGGCTTTAACATGCCAAATACACAGTGTGTATTTTGCCAGGTTTTTCTACAACTAGTACAGCTTGCCTAGTTATATAACTGAATTGATCACTAAAAGCAAAATCCAGATTTCAAAGTGGCCGTTCTTTCTAGCAGTTCAACAACCCTTCTTCCTTCACTCATGCTTCTGCCTTCCCACTTAAGTCCTGCCTATCCTTTTACCTGTGATGGCATTTTGTAATTCCCTTTAATCTTCTGATATCCCTCTACCCCGTCTGTCCTCTTGTCTAAGGCCAGATGGCGCCTTTATTTTCTTTGAAGGTAGTTTCTCCCCAACCTCCCTCTAAGCCCATACTTACTTCTGTTTTCAGTCTCCTCTTTGGTGCCTCCAGCTACCAGCATCTTTCTCTCATCTCTTTATACATCTGAGAGCATCTGCTCTCAGCTTGTTGATTTTTTTCCCTCCACACACCTGACTCCTGCAGAGACTTTTCTGATGGGAAACCTTCAGGAACTGTGTTTTCAAGGTTAATGAACAAGGTGTAGCTTCTGACATCCTAACTGGCTGTCATATGGGCTGGAGGAGGTCCTTACTGTGCTCACAAATTATTTATGTGCCCACAGCTTGCTTCTTCAAAAAATAGAGAGAAAAGCACCATCATGTTTCCTACTATTTAGTGTCTCTCCAAAAAAGCTGATGGTGTTCTTTTTTATAACTCTGGAAATATGGAAGCCCACCTATCAACACTGAAAAATGACTTCCTGTCCATTTTTCCATGGACAACTTTCAAGAATTTCAGGATTTCTGACAGCCTCCTTGTGACTGGAATTCTTTTTTACAGAGAACAGTTCAACAGGAAACTCTTTTTCCTGATGCATTACTTACTCCATTTGATGTTTTTTCCCATCAAAAGTTTTTTGTAGCTTAAGAACTTCCTTCCTGCCAAAACAAGGTGACTGTCTCTTTTAACAGCCAAAATTTGTCTGCAATTCTCCAAGCTAACCATACTCCTAGAGTAGCTTGTGATGTTTCCATGCTGCTTATATTCTCAGGCTGTATTGCCATGTTGCTAACTAGACTTTTCCCACAGCATTTCAGGTTGCAAATGTAATACAAAAGTAGAAGGAGCAGAAAACTGCCTTTCCTTTTGTGTTGGGAGTGACAAACTTAATGTAGGAGTGAGGGGGTTGCTTGTAAATACTCCCCCCCCCCCCTTTTCCTTCTTGGCTTGCATTATGCAGTGTATTAGAAATGACATAGATCACAGCAAGAAGATGTTGGAGACCTTGCAGAGTTTTATCAGCACTCATACTTCCGGAAAGCTGGAGCAGTTGGTGAAAACGTGCTTTTGGAAATTGTTTTGCAGAAGCCTTCATTTTTGCTAAGACACCAGGTTTAGGTCATGTTAAAAGAACACAAGACTTATTTCCCTCTCAAGTACTCCTGTTATACACCATATACACCATATACACTCCTGTTATATGTTTAAACCTACTGCCTGCAGAGGAACAGCTCATTTCTGCAGGGCTTCTCTTCAGCCTCTTGTCCCCCAGTTTATGTGTATTATGAGGATTACCCATTCTAGGTGCAAAATCCTGCACTTGCTCTTGTTAAATTTCATACAGCTGGTGATTGACCACCTCTCTAGTCTATCCAGATCTCTTTTTAAAGCCTCTCTATCCTCAAGGGAGTGCACAGCTCCTCTAGTTTTGGGTCGTTGGCAAACTTACTTAATGTGCATTTAACTCCTGTGTCTAGATCATTTATAAAAACATTAAAGAGCACATACAGCCTGATGTGACCCCATTTACTTTAACTCTTTGAGCACAACCTGCCAACCAATTGCTCATCCAATGTATTATGGACTTGGTGTATACCATTTATCTCTCCCCAAAAGGGCTGATTGCATTCTTATTTTAGAACTCTGGAAATATGGAAGCCCAGCTATCAACAGTGAAAAATGACTGGCTGTCCATTTTACTCGAGCCCTCTGGGCCCTTCTTATCTTCTTGTGCTAGTTTGGAAAATGATTCATTATATGAAAGTGTGCTCTTCAGTGTAAACTGGAGGTTATCTATAAATTTAGGTAATCAGACATCTGCTGATCCTAGGTTGCTCAACATGTAATATAATGGAAGCCCTTTTAAATGAGTAATTTGTATCTGGACTAGATGTAGCACTGGAAAACATACATCCAGTAGGGAACACTCCAACTCTGGCAGGAATGATGTATGAGGCATAAAACTGGAGCCCTTCTCCTATCACTGTAATTCCTGTGGGGTGGTTCCTGAAGTCTTTAATCAGCAGCCTTTGCATTGACTCTAGTGGGTTTGACTCAAACCAGAAAGGTACATAAACTGTAATGTCTCTGGAAAGAAATCTGAGGGTGGAATCCCAAACCTCTCTTTGACACAATGAGCCTTGCCCACCCTGCTCTGGCCTGGTCCCAATGTGAGGAGAAGGAAGTCACCAATGATAGATGATCTGTGGTTCCAGTCAGAAGGGAGCTTCCTCAGAAAATCAGTTTGTTTTCACTGTCCTTGTTTTGGTGCGTGTTATGGAGGGGTCTTGCAGTAGCCATACTACATTGCTTTCAGAAAGAGAAATGGACAGAGCAGTGCTGCCCAAGCATGACTGAATAGAGACTCCCAGACTGTCACCCTTTAGCTCACTTACGTACACAAGTAAGCTCAATATGTGAGCAAAGTAGGATAGTAAATTTATGAGAAATGGGACAAAAAGGACAGTAGCGTTTCTACTCCAGCACAATATGGCACCCTTGGCTGTATCTTTAATTAAGTTGCTTTTTATTTCATCTAGGTGAACTTGCTTTCTTAGGCTGTTTTTGTTGGCTTCCTGCACTTTTTTGACTGCAGGCCGTTATAGTAGACAGAAACAGCCGTTTGTGCAGGTTATGCTTTTGCACTTAAAATACTTAAGGCTGCAGCACTCATTGCAGTACCTATTCGTCCACTATTTTGTAGTTGCAGTCTGCAGCTGATTTATGCAATAAGGTATTACTAATCAGCTACCTGCAAGTCACTAACTCGTGTACTGTTTTTTTAACTCTTGCAGATGTCACCGTTGTCCACACCTGCCCTCCAGGCTCTATGACAAGACTGAGAAGCCATGTGTGCTGTCAGAGTACAAGGAGCAATACCCCCTTCATCCCATCACTGCTCCTGAAGGCTCATTTAAGCCAAAGGCAGTGTACAAGGTGGCAGACATACGCATGGAAGGCACCTCAACTACAAAGTACGAAAAATAGTCTAAGACAGTGACTTAGATAATGTGTGTGAGAGGGATGAGTAATAGAGAAAAGAAAAATCACTGGTTTTCATAAGAGGAGGCTGTAAAGATCAATGTTATGGTTGTACAAACCCTCATGAGGGCTCTCTGAAGGAGGGATGAAGATCTATCTGAGGACAGTTTTGTATGGAGGCAAGCAGCTGTTTTGCTTGCACTTCTAGAGACTGAGAAGCGATATGATCAGAGGATACATGGGCCACAGAAGCATAGTCATGGTCTTGGCTTTTGCTGATTTTCTGTTTTGGTCTGTGAAACCAGCAGAAATGTTATCTGGGAAAGTATGGATGATCTCTGAAGACTGTCTTTCTTTCATTGTGTTTTTTCATGGCACTTTGTACACTTGTTAACATGCATGACTGGTTTCCAAGGAAATATGAATATGGTAGAGCATGATGGTTGGAAGGGGTATGAGTGTTTTCCTCAAGGCAATCATTGTGGATTGATGAGCTGTTTCTGCTTCTCAGCTGTGTTGTTGCTCAGTGTTGGGGTTTAGCAGAAATCCTCACACTTGTGCTGTGCCAATTTCCCTTATGGAAGTAACTTCTGAGGCTCTTCCTTGCTGCTGGCAGAGTGATGTGCCAAGAACTTATCCACAGAAGGATCTCATAAAAAATAGGAATCTGATCCATTAATATGACTCCAAGAGCTTCTCTTTCTCAAACAACAGCTGCTGCCTGATCTAGATGTTTACTTCCCTTGTCATCACATCCACAGTCGTGAGCAATATCACTCCTGCCTTTGCTGAACCGAATTAGAGACCTAGGAAATGCCAATGACTATTAGTAAAGTCTTAACAGCTAACACCATCCATTTCTCCTCATAGAATTATAGAATCATTTAGGTTGGAAAAAAACCTTTTAAGATCATTGAGTCCAACTGTTAACCTGACACTGCCAAGTCCACCACTAAACTACATCCCTCAGTGCCACCTCTACAAGTCTTTTAAATACCTCCAGGCATGTTCACTCAACCACTTCCCTGGGCAGCCTATTCTGGTGACTGACGATGCTCCCAGTGATGAAATTTTTCCTAATGTCCAATCTAAACCTCCCCTGGTGCAACTTGAGGCCATCTCTTGTCCTATCACTTGTTACTTGGGAAAAGAGACAAGCATCCGCCTTGCTACAGTCTCCTTTCAGGTAGTTGCAGGGAGTGATAAGTTCTCCCCTCAGCCTCCTTTTCTCCAGACTAAACCCCCTCAGTTCTCTCAGCCATTCCTCATCAGACTTGTGCTCCAGACCCTTTACCAGCTTCGTTGGCCTTCTCTGGACCTGCTTCAGCGCCTCAATGTCTCTCCGGCAGTGAGGGGCCCAGAACTGAATGCAGGATTCGAGGTGCCACCTCACCAGTGCTCAGTACAGGGGGATGATCACTGCCCTGGCACTGCTGGCCGCGCTGTTTCTGATGTAGGCCAGGATGCCATTGGCCTTCTTGGCTGCCTGGGCACAAGCTGGCTCATGTTCAGCTGTCAGTCAGCATCCCCAGGTCCTTTTCCTTTGAGCACCTTTCCAGCCACTCTTCCCCAAGCTTGTAGCTCTGTGTGGGGTTGTTGTGACCCAAATGCAGGACCCAGCACTTTGCCTTGTTGAGCCATTGGCCACAGCCCATTGATCCAGCCTGCCCAGATCCCTCTGCAGAGCCTTCCTACCCTCCAGCAGATCAACACTCCCAGCCAACTTGGTGTCGTTCACAAGTTCACTGAAGGTGCACTCAATCCCTTCATCTAGATCATTGATATAGATATTAATCAGAACTGGCTCCAATACTGAGCCCTGGGGAAGACCTGTTGTGACTGGCTGCCAGATGGGTATAATTCTATCCATAACCATTTTTTGGGCTCAGCCATGCAGACAGTTTTGTACCCAGCAACAGTACACGTGTCCAAGCCATGAGCAGCCAATTTCCCCAGGAGAATGCCATGGGAAATGGTGTCAAAGGCTTTGCTGAAGTTGGTAGATGACATCCAAGATTGAAAGTGGCTTGGTGAGCACTTCTCAAGCTCCCTCATTACCCATTCTGACATGGAAGCTCTCCATTCCTTCTGCCTCTGCCTTTTTTAGAGTTGTCAATTTAAACATGGCTGATAAATTCTGAAATGCCCCATTTACTCACATTTGGGATGCTTCTGCCTATGGGGATCTTTCAGCAATCACCAAAAGGATCAGAGAGTTTCAAAGAGCAGACTTCGCTTCTGTATATGCCTTGCATTTCCAGGGTAAGCCAAAGCAGCTAGACACCTTTGTATCTGCTTATAATTCAATCCTGGTGTCACCGGTGTCCCTTAAAACAGGTGATGAGGGCAGTGGCCATGTAGGGTCTGTCAAGGAGCCCTTGGAAACTTCCTGTTCTGTCAGCAAAACTCTCCTTGCTCAGACAAACAATAACTGTTACTCCTGGAGTTCAGTAGAACCTCTAAAAAGCAGACTAATGAGAAAGTGCAGAAACTACTTACACATGCTTCTTCAGAGCATGCACTCTACCAAGTGTAAAAATTGCCTACCCTTGTTAGAGGAGAAAACCTGAACAGTTAGCCATCCTATTACAGGTTTTGGTGTCCTCTGGGTAATGATCATAAGAATACGCACCAAGAGTGAAAGTACTAAGGCCTAGAAGTGTCACCACCTATTACAAGGCTGCTAAATGCTCTGGTTCTGTGTGGCTAAACTCAAGGAGAGTGAATTGATGGAGTGTATGAATATAACTGCAGGAACTGTGAGGCCAGCAGACACTGAGTTGTCACCAGTCATTTCTAATAACACTTCACTGAGTGTTATGTGTTATACTGCGACAGCAGGCACCCTTGGTAAAGTCTAGGAGTTGCAGGCAGTACAGTTTTTCGTGTCATCTTGGATGCACGTTGCCACTGATTTATCATCAGATTAATCTCTCTTCTGTGATTTCCACTGTAGGGTCTGCTGCTTCACAACAGTCAGTGTGGGAAAAGCTGCTCCCACTGCCAGAAGGCTCTTGGTCATGCAGTGAAGAATTGAACACGTGTAATCTGTTACTTGCCTCTAGTACAGCCTTGGCTGTTTCAAACACAGGATTGTGCAGTGCACTGTGAATGGCTTGGGAAAGACCCTCTCTGTTACTGGGCACTCCTGCTACTAAGGATGCGATATGCCTTGTATTCTTGCCTTTTCTTGGCCCCTCTTAAAAAGTACATTGGCTTTAAATTGCTGACAAAAGTATGCCAAGGGGCTGCAACAAGTGTGACATCTACATAAATACCTCTTGATACTCATGGAATATTTTTTACTTCTGTATTTCTGTTTTCACACCTATACCTAATACTTTGCAATGTGAATTCTATTCCGCTCCACACAGACTTTTGAGAACCTTGTTTATTTGCTAAAATACATAACTAATACAGTATTTTCAGAGGCTCAGGCTTTTGCCCACCCAGCATCACTCCAGACGTGAAGTGCAATATTAATATTAGAATAGCTCCTTTACTGATGATCTCTCCTGGCCAGCTGCTAGTGGTGTAAATAGATCAGTGGAAAAGTACTCTGACATTAGAGATTGAATTCACTGGTGCCAGGCAGTATACTCTCTGCCCTATACCAGAGGATGTGGGCAGTAAAATATATTCAGGTTAGTGAATGTTGGGTGGTATTTTCTTCTCTACAGTGTTTCTGTAATGTTTTGTTGAGCTGTGTAAGTAGCACTGCTCTAGTATCTTACAGTGCTACCTGAGAAAAAGCTGGCTTTCTGACTATGCTGTTGTTTCTTTCCTTAACTGATGTTTTGCTGTAAAACTGTTTTGCTGTTACCTATCCATCCTGGGCTGAACCACTGTACACAGAGTATCTGTAAAGGGTATTGTTGCCTCTCTCATAAGTTTCCCCTACATGCTAGATAGTCTTCTATAATTATTGAGCTTTTAAAAGGAGTAATGATTTCTGGTGTCATGCCACTGTAGAACATAGATAGCTTTGTATAAGGCCATTAACCTTAGTGGATGGAAAGAAGGGGAATCTGGGTTGCCTGAGGTTGTCCAGAGCTGCCCCTGTTCGTTTCTCAGAGTCCAGGCTTCCAACTGTGAAAGGATTATGTGTTTCATTAACTGCTTGATTCCTGTCCCAGCTTTCTTAGGCTGTGGAGATAAGAGGCAGTATTAATTTATTTGTGGGTTCAGAAATAGAAATGGTTTGGTTTTTTCTTTTCTTTAAGATGAAGGACATAATAAAATTATTCTTCACAGGAGAGATTACATAGCCAAGGAAGTGTTGCCACGGAAACTTGTATCACCTCAAAAGCATGTCAAGAGTGATGAGACTATGGATTGCACCACCACTTATAAACAGGATTATCACTCCTACCCTACCTTTCGAGTACCTCCATGCCTCCCCTCTGAGACAAAACACATCCCCAATGTGAAGATGAATACAAGAACCACTTATGAAGGTATGGGCATTTGCAGCTTCTTTCAGGACTTCACCATAGCTTCATTTCTGAAAAGGACAGATTAAAACACTATGTGGTTGTTACTTCTTCTGTCTATGTACGCCAACAGGCTGGTCAGGAACCTCACAGACACAAATTGCTGGAAATACAAGCCTGTATTAATGGTAGCATTGGGATCTTTCTGAGTTCACATCCTTTGTATGTCTGACATGTGTGCAGGCATCCTACGTAGAAGGAGGGCCATATGAACTCCTGCAAGTGGGTCCAGCAGCATCATCTTTAGGATATAGTGAACATTCTCTGCAGGGCTGGTCCAGAGTGTTAGTGGATCAGCCACAGGTCATGAAGTATGGGACCGTTTTTGTGTATGCTACAGTGTTAATCTGTGAATGTGCAAAACATGTATATGGCAACTATAGACACACAGAAGTTCCACACAATTGTCCAAAGCACTCAAGCTCTGCTCCTGTTAAAACGTGTTAACAGTGCATCCAACCATGCCATTGTTTCTCAGTATCAGTGACTTGGTGTAGTTGGTTTGCGTTTGTGAGGGCTTTGTTCCTTCCTCTCCAAAGGCAGGAATTCTCTTCTGCGTGCACTGGGAGAAGATTTTCAGTTACCCTGTTACACTAGCAACTGTGCTAGTATTGGTAGTGAGTCCTAAGTAGAAAATCAGAGGACTTTGCATCTCCTCTGCACACCTTCCCACTACCTAACATTGCTAGGCAGATAGCATTTGTGTATCTCTTAAAATAATTTAAAATGGTCATATTTTATTTTATTTTTATTATGCCATGCAAATATAAAAGCTTATGATTGGTGCTGGCATTGAGATTTGTGCCAGTGGTCAGAAACACTGTTTTTTTTTCTTAAAACTCAAAATGGCACAGGGATTAAAGAAATAAAAGGTGTGTGAATCCAGTGTTAAGATTGGGCCAGCTGAAATGACTGAAAGTCAGACTTTAGTGCTGCTGCATGTTTGCAACAGCATAAACTAGAATGTTTATATTAAGCACACAGGAAATACTGTGCCTTTGGAATTACTTGAGTCATGAGGACTGTGACCCACAAGTGTAAAATACCCATGTTTACACAATTTTGAACACTTTGTTTTGCGTAGGCAGTGTTGCCAGATGGTATTCATTGGAATAGCTTCAGTGAAGCCAACAAAAAAAAGCTGCTTTGCTCAAGCAGAGGATCTTTCCTTATGTGTTTAGATATCCTTGACTTCTTTGTATCTGAACCAGATGTATGTCTTTCTCTTTTATCAGTGTTTAGGTCAGCACCTTAGATGTTACTGCAGAACTCTAATAAAATGTATCACAGCCACATTTGGTTATAATTTGCAGTATTTTTCACAAAACTGCAAATGGAAATCTTTGTCCAAACCCTCTCAAAGATCAAATTGCATACTGAAAGAATTCCCCTTTAGAGGCCCTGGTTCACAAAAAATACAAGTTTTCATAGTTCTGTTCTCTATTAGGTTATACTGATTACTGCTCAAGCATGAAATTTTGAAACAAGCTTTTCAACTAATTATTGTAACTCAAATATATAAACAGCATATAAACCAGTGCTGCATTGGTACTAAAGTACCTTTCCTACTGTATTGTCACACTCCTTCCTGCTAAACACACCATACCTCAAATGACACGGTAGGTTTAAGATAATGCTATTACATATCGCAATTAATGTCAGAAGACTTTGCAACTTAAGGTTTCAAAATTCTCATCTCCTCCAAGCTACACACATAGCTGTTTCTATCCATCTGCAGGTACGTAGTCTGATTTTAGTTTTGTTTTGCTTGGTTATAAAAAGATGTGCCTAACCTCCAATAATATATGGTTCATATCCTCCATTCCTTCTTGTACCCCCTAATGTTTTCAAGATTATGTTACATGGGAAACTATTAATATCTATGGAGAAGAACTGGAATTCCAATAAATTTATAACTTGTTTTTAAGGAATAGTAGCACTGCTGGCTTACAGTAGGTAAAATAAATTCATAATGCCTATGAGGTCTCCAAATGTGTGGAGCTAGTAAATTTTTAAAATTGAAGACAGATGGACTTGTCGTATTTTGAATATTTTGCAAAAGCTGTGGTTACATCCAAAATGCACAGACTATTTTCCAGTGAAGATGATGGGAGAATGTAAAAAGTTTTTTGGTTACTCTTGGTTGGCATCTGAAATGTCAGCTCTCTGAACAAGCCTTTGCTTAGGGATGGGCTGAATCTTACTAGCTTCTCTGTTTTAACGCTTTATTAATACATCCTCTGTAATGACATATGTCCATTTATGCTTGTGGTTCACCCTGCTGGGCCACAGGAGAAAGATGTGTCCTAGGCATGGGCACAAGGTCAGTGTCCCACCAATGTGGTGGTGCCTGGGGCATTTACACACCTCTGCACTAGCAGGGCATGCAGCCTGGTCTTCAGTGGCACCGACAGTGGCAGATGAATGTCTATGCCAGTGCACACAGGCAGACCCATGTTGTCAGCTGACAATGCTAATTAGTAGCATAAGGGCAGCTCTGTACCCAAGTGCCAGGGCACTCTCTGGGAGCAACATGACATCTGTGGCTGCTGCTTTCTCTCTTGTGCCGGCACAGGCAACTTGATTTGAACCAGACGGACTTTAAATGGACACCTAATTGGTGCAAAAAGTTACATTTTTTTGGTTACCTTCACAATGTAATGAGCACATCCTTTGTGTAACTGTGTTTGTGCAGTACAGTAATCACTGCCATTCTAAAGGAATAACTCTGTTTGGATTGGGGAGTTCAAATATCCTGATACCTAACTGCATCATTTACTCACTAGTACTTTGAAATCTAGACTTCCTTACTGTGCAGAGTCAGCTGGAAGCTTATTTGCCTCATGACTCTCAATGTGGTTTGAAAGAAGGGAAAATTGAAAAAGAAAAAAAAAGTAAATACTTGGGTTAGCTCCAAGACTATCTCATTTCAACTTCCTACTAGTAACCATAATGCTCTCTAGGGGAAGTTGCACAAGGTTACTAGGAAGGGGAAAATCAATGGTTGTGTGGCTGCAGCTCTGGTCAGTGTTAGGCAGATTTGCAATGAATTTTTAGTGTGACTCAGTGCAAATCTTTTAAAGTCTCAGTGCCTTATATTTTTCCCTGTGTCCTGCCAAGGAATGAAGACATGAATATTTCTAAAATGCTGCCTAAAAGTTTTTCTTTGTCATGAATTTGGATAGCAAGTATGGACCATCTATGCAGTATGATTCACTGCTTTAGATCAGCGTAGGCTTGGTCTGCAAATTCCAGCACACTTTTTCAAATAAGGAAGAATTGGAGACAGAGTTACAAGCTCCTTCTTGGTTCTTGCTTGTACTGACAGCAGGAGTACCACAGAGGGAAAAGCCAAGAGCTGAGGAAATGTCGCAGAGCACAGCTTGCTGACACTAACATGAGCTGCACAAACCTGAATTCAGCAAACAGTAGGCAGCATCACATCTATATAGCTGAGGAACAGGTCATCTCAAATGAGAAGGTACAAAGAGGAAGGGTAGCTCTGCAACTTGGCCTTTAAAGTGCCCTAGACATACTGTGGGTGACACCTGAACAACCTTCTGCAGACATAGGCATACTTTGCCTGTGTTCTGAGCTAGCCACAATATAACTACATGGTACTCCACTTTCATGATTTCTAGTTAACTGGGCATGAGGACAGTGCCCACTCTGTCACTTGCAGCCTTTGCAAGACAAGAGAATGTAATTTTATCTTCCCACACTGTTTTTCACCATCTCTATAGGTATGAGTGGTACACGAATATTTTAATTTTCTGTGTAGATGCTAAGCATTTCCAGGGGTTAGCACACTAGTCTGTAAGGTGTTCTGTAGCAGCTCTTTTAATAGAATTTTTCATTACAACATTAACAAGTATTTATTACAGTAGAAAATGTAATAATCAAAACATAATATGGTATAAGCCTAAACTTAGAGCATTTAGATATGATTCCTCTTACAATTCCTGTATTTCAGATGACTATGTGCTATGGAATGAACAAAAGAGAGACCTGATCAGACCAGACAACAGATTTCGCCCATCGGAATTAAAATTTGACCACAGAACCATTTTCCAGGATGACTATCTGTACAGGGGGCCGGTTGCCACTCGAAACTTCAAGCCTCCAAATCAAATCCAGAAAACCAAGGCTCCTGAGTATATAACTAATTATAGAGTGAATTATGTGCCACATCCTCCTGAAAAGCATTACGTCCATGAGAGAGAGAAATACAAGGCCAATGAGATCCCATTTGATGGCCTTACTACCCACAAAGTTTCTTACAAGTGGATGGCTGGTCAGCCAGCAAAACTTGCAAAACCATGCCAGTCAAAGTATCTCAATAATATTCCATTTTCCTCTACAACTGAGTTTCAGGAAAAATACCAAGCTTGGCCACGGGCTTCCATATTCACCAAGAAACCTGTTGTATATCTTCCTCCTCTTGAGAAAATGGACCTTCAGACCACTACTAAGATGCATTACAAGCACCGAAATGGCAAGCCAACCAAGAAGTGTCAACCTGTGGCCCAGATACCTAAAAGTACTGGGTCATTCAATAGCTCTTCTACAATGAAAGAAGACTATAAGCCTTGGCTGTGCAAGAGGCTAAAACCTATCATTCATGCTCCAGAGCTGACTTTCTCAGCAAAGCCCATGGATTGCTTGACTACTTTTCAGACCCATTATGTGCCTCATCGGCCCACAGTTACAAAGAGCTATAAACCTCCCTGGTCAGGCCCAAAGGATCAAACTCCACTACAAGCTAAAACAATCTACACTACCAGCTACACACCCAAAGACTTTGTTAGATGCTTGGCCTCTTACAAACACCCACCTGGGTACATCTTTGAGGGAACTAATGCTGATGGTCACAGTCTCTATCTACCTGCTTCCAAGAGTCGAGTGCCTGCAGGATTGACACAGAAGGAAGAAGAGAGTGGACATCATCTTGGAAATGGATTCAAAGAGCAAGGCCCCAGTGAGCTATGAATGAAAGCTTGATTTTCTTTGTAACCTTCTTTCAAATCAATCTCTGATTTTATATTTGGAGTGCCTTTAAAATACACTTCATTTGCAGACATTGACTTTTTCTGGCTCATTTGTACAAATGGAAAAGAAAGAGACATCAATCCTTGTTTCTCTAGATTTTCTCTTTTTTTTGTTTTCCCCAGCTAACTCTTGCTCTTTATTTGAGACAGATATCCTCCTCCTAAGACACAAAAAGAGAGATCTTGCAGATTTCTTTTTCTTTTTCCCCTAAGTATCACAGTATGCTAGAGATTGGAAGGGACCTCGAAAGATCGTCTAGTCCAATCCCCCTGCCGGAGCAGGAACACCTAGATAATGTTACGCAGGAATGCGTCCAGGCGGGTTTTGAATGTCTCCAGGGAAGGAGACTCCACAACCTCCCTGGGCAGCCTGTTCCAGTGTTCCGTCATCCTCACTGAGAAGAAGTTTCTTCTCAAGTTTAAGTGGAACCTCTTGTGTTCCAGTTTGTACCCATTACCCCTTGTCCTACCATTGTTTGCCACTGAGTAGAGCCTGGCTCCATCCTCGTGACACTCCCCCTTTATATATTTATAGACACTTATAAGGTCACCCCTCAGTCTCCTCTTCTCCAAACTATAGAGACCCAGCTCCCTCAGTCTTTCCTCATAAGGGAGATGCTCCACTCCCTTAATCATCTTTGTTGCCCTTCGCTGGACTCTCTCCAGCAGCTCCCTGTCCTCCTTGAACTGAGGGGCCCAGAACTGGACACAATATTCCAGATGGGGTCTCACCAGGGCAGAGTAGAGGGGAAGGAGGACCTCTCTCGACCTACTAACCACCCCCCTTCTAATACACCCCAGGATGCCATTGGCCTTCTTAGCCACAAGGGCACAGTGTTGGCTCATGGTCATCCTGTCGTCCACTAGGACCCCCAGGTCCCTCTCCCCTACACTGCTCTCTAACAGGTCGTTTCCCAACCTATCCTGGAACCTGGGGTTGTTCCTGCCCAGATGCAGGACTCTACACTTTCCCTTGTTATATTTCATCAAGTTACTCCCTGCCCAACTCTCCAGCCTGTCCAGGTCTCGCTGGATGGCAGCACAGCCTTCTGGCGTGTCAGCCACTCCTCCCAGCTTAGTGTCATCAGCAAATTTGCTGATAGTACACTCAATTCCCTCATCTAAATCATTGATGAATATATTAAATAATACCGGTCCCAGTACTGACCCTTGAGGCACTCCACTAGTTACAGGCCTCCAACTAGACTCAGCCCCATAGACTACAACTCTCTGGCTTTTCTCCTTCAGCCAGTTCGCAGTCCACCTCACTACCTGATCATCCAGTCCACACTTCCTCAATTTAGCTGTGAGGATGCTGTGGGAGACTGTGTCAAATGCTTTGCTGAAGTCAAGGTAGACCACATCCACCGCTCTGCCATCATCCATCCACCGTGTTATTTCCTCATCAAAGGCTAAGAGATTGGTCAAACATGATTTCCCCCTGGTGAAGCCATGTTGACTGCCCCTCATAACCCTCTTATCCTTGATATGCCTTAAGATGGCACCAAGGATAAGGTGTTCCATCACTTTCCCAGGGATGGAGGTGAGGCTGACCAGTCTATAGTTACCCGGGTCCTCTTTCTTGCCCTTTTTGAAGACTGGAGTGACATTTGCTTTCCTCCAGTCCTCAGGCACCTCTCCCGTTTCCCAAGACTTGGTAAAGATGATGGAGAGTGGTCTAGCAATGACTTCCGCCAGTTCCCTCAGCACCCGCGGGTGCATCCCATCTGGACCCATGGATTTATGGATGTCCAGATTGCTCAACTGGTCTCTAACCCATTCCTCATCGACTAAGGCAAACCGCTCCTTCGACCTGACTTCATCTAAGGTCTCAGGGGTACAGGGCTCTTCAGGACTGCCCGCAGCAGAGTAGACAGAGACAAAGAAGGCATTCAGTAACTCTGCCATCTCTGTATCTTCTGTCACCAGGGCACCCATCCCGTTCATCAGTGGGCCTACATTGCCTCTGATGTTAGTTTTGTCTGCCATGTATTTCAAAAAGCTCTTTTTGCTGTCCTTGACCCTTCTCGCCAGGTTTAATTCTAAGGATGCCTTAGTCCTCCTAGCTGCCTTCCTACTCCTCTAGCAGCAGCCTTATATTCCTCCCGAGTGGCCAGCCCCTCCTTCCATGACCTGTAAACTCTCCTCTTCCACTTGAGCATACCCCGCAATTCCCTATTTAGCCACGCAGGTCTCTTGGCCCTCTTCCTTGACTTCCTACGTGTTGGGATCCTCCGATCTTGAGCACGGAAAAAGCAGTCCTTGAATGTCAACCAACTATCTTGGGCCCCTTTACCTTCAAGCAGCCTTGCCCATGGGATTTCCCCTAGCAATTGCTTCAAAAGACCAAAGTTTGCCCTGCTAAAGTCCAGGGTTGCAATTCTACTTGGTATTCTACTAGTCCTACCACACAAGATCCTGAACTCCACCATCTCGTGGTCGCTGCAACCAAGGCAGCCCTCAACCCTTACTGCTTCGACCAGACCCTCCTTGTTAGTGAGGATGAGATCCAGCAGCGCTCCTCTCCTGGTCGGCTCATCCACCATTTGCAGGAGGAAGTTATCATCCATACACTGGAGGAACCTCCTGGACTGTGGCTGGGTTGCCGAGTGGTCCTTCCAGCAAACATCAGGGAAGTTAAAATCCCCCACGACGACGACGGCCTGTGACTGTGAGGCCGCTCTCAGCTGCCTGTAGAAGGCCTCGTCAACTTCCTCACCCTGATCTGGTGGTCTGTAACAGACACCCACAACAGTATCCCCCCTGCCAGCCTGCCCCCTAATTCTCACCCACAGACTCTCAACTCGCTCGTCATCTGTCCCTGGACAGAACTCGGTGCATTGTAGTTGCTCTTGCACATAAAGAGCAACCCCACCACCCCGCCTGGCTGGCCTGTCTTTTCTGAAAAGGACATAGCCCTCCATGACTATATTCCAGTCATTTGAGCTGTCCCACCACGTCTCTGTAACTGCCACCAGATCATAGCCTCCTGACTTAACACAGGTTTCCAACTCCTCCTGCTTATTTCCCATGCTGCGCGCATTGGTGTACAGACATTTCAGGGAGCGAGCTGAGCACACCGATTTCACCCTAGGATTATAGGAGGCCTCCCAGTCTTCATTAATTCTGAAGCACTGCCCCACTGGGGCAAGCCCAGCTACAACCCCATCCCCCTTCGAATCTAGTTTAAAGCTCTCCAAATGAGCCCTGCTAATTCGTGCCCCAGCATCCTTTTGCCTCTGTGAGACAAACCTTTCTCACTTGTCCTTGTCCAGACTGGTGCCCTATAAAACCAGCTGTTATCAAAGAATCCAAAGCCCTGCCTGTAGCACCAGTCTCGAAGCCAATTGTTTATGAACTGAATCTTCCCATTCCTTCCCACATCATCAGTGGAAGATGGAAGGAGTGAGGAGAAGGTCACTTGAGCCCCAGACTCTTTCACCATCCCCCCAAGGCCCTGTAGTCTTTCTTCATCCCCCTCAGACTGCGGGAAGCAGCTTCCTCCCCACCTGTCTGGAAGACCAGCAGCGGGTACTAGTCTGTCGGGTGCACCAGGTTGGGGAGCACCCTAGTGATATCCCTGATCAGGGCTCCAGGCAGACTACACACTTCCCTATGATGAGGGTCAACTCTGCATATCGGGCCCTCTGTTCCTCTCAGAAGGGAATCCCCTACTACAATGACCCTTCTTTCTTTCTTAACAGAGGCAGTCTTGAGGTGCAAAGTCGACCCCCTTTTCCTATGTGGCCTTGTGGGCTGGCCTTGCACCACATCCTCACCTACCTCTCCTTCAAGATCCAGGGCCTCGAACCTATTACGGAGGGACACCTGGGGAAGCAGGGCAGGAAGGGGGGAGGGCTTCCCACGAAGTCGAACTGGAACTCGCTTCCAACCCTCGTCGTCTTTTTGGTCCCCTACCTCTGCGCAACAGCTACAGGGCAGGGGCTGCCTCGGGCCATCCCCCTCTGTGTGAGAAGGCAGGGGGTCCTTCCCCTTTTGGGGGGTATCTCCCTGGAACCGTTCCAACTGGCACGCCAGGGAGTTACTCCACCAGTCGATCTCCCTTTCACACTCCCTGATGGTCCTCAGCTTCTCAACCTCCTCCTTAAGTCTTGCCACCAGACTAAGCAGATCTTCTACCTGCTCACACCTCACGCAGGTGGAATGCTGCCCTCCCTCCCCCGGCAGCAGCAGGCTCTGCTTGAACTTGATGATCTTAAGGTCCTTTCCAACCCCAAGTATTCTATGATAATTAGCAGTTGTTCAGAAACCTGTTAGCTGCTCTGCAGTGATCTTTCCTGTTTTGTGGGGCAATAATGAGTGAGTAAAAAGACTACCTGCCTTTGGGCAAACTTCCAGTGTTTGGAGCAACCCGGAGGAGCTGATGAACCTTGCACTTAGGATGCAGCACAAGACAACACTTCTCACCTTATGAATAAATGGGTGGAATGAGGGGAGTCAGCTGTAATCAACCTCCTATTTCATTTACTGGTGCTTTCTAAGACTGGATAATGGCATGAATACCTAAACACTGGCATAAGTACAAAGAATACTACTGAAAAATGTTTAAAAATCCAAAATGCAAGGATGAAAGCCAAGGGCTTTGTCCTTGGCAGGATTGAAAAAGGCTTCCAGGGGATGCAAACAAGAGAAAGGAGGATTGTGCTGAGCGATAATAGGTGAAAACTGTCATTGCCAGAGCAGGTTACTACAGTAGTATCAATTACTGTAATCACTGCCAATACATGTCAGGGATAGTTCCCTGTATGTACACTGCGGAGCCTGTTTGGAGGGATAGCTTCATCATGAGTCCCTGAAAACACCAAGCTCACCGGTGCTACTGATCTCCAGAGCAAAACACAATCTATTAGGCAAGTCTTAAGCACGAAAGCTGAGTTAAGGAAACACATCAAACTAAATTTTAGAAGGGTAGCAGCTTCCTGGGAGGTCCTGAATGTCTGCTCAGCCATCAAGGACTGTGGGTCCCGTCTGGGAAAAATCTAAGCAAAAATACTTTACTCTCCAGGCCTTAGCAG